GCTGGTCCCCAGGGACTTTTACCCCTTGGAGGGGAATCCCAAATTTCCTCCATCAAAAGAGGGATAAACAGGGAAATTGGTGGAGGAGATCCCAAATTTCCTGTAGTAAAACAAGGATGAGTTTCTCCTCTTGAGCAGAGGCTGGTGGGTGACCTCAGCACTGATTTTCCTCTTTTGGAGGAGATCCCAAATTGGAGGAGATCCCAAATTTCCTGTGGCAAAACAAGGATGAGTTTCTCTCCAGAGCACAGGTGGGGCTGGCAGGTCCCCAGTGACTTTTCCCTCTCACAGAAGCTCCCAAATTACCTCTATAAAAACCATGAACAAAAACTGGTGGTGAAGGAGAACCCAAATTCCCTGTAGCAAAGCAGGCCCGAACAAGCGAAACCTCGCTGTGCTGGAGCAGGATGGAGCTGGCTGTGCCTCAGGGTCGTTCTGGGGTGCTCCAAAGGGCCACATTCCCCCCATGTCCCGCGTGGATCTGCAGCTCAGGCGTGGGAGTTGATGGCTTTTTGTTTTCTCTCCCGGTGACGTCAGCCTGCACCTGACCACCTTCAGCCTGCAGTACACCCCGCCCGTTGTGGCCTGCGTCTGTATCCACCTGGCCTGTAAGTGGTCCAACTGGGAGATCCCAGTCTCCACGGACGGGAAGCACTGGTGGGAATACGTTGATGGCACTGTAACTCTGGAGCTCTTAGATGGTAAGTTTGGGAGCGAGGTTTTCTTTCCCTGCAAAAGGCTCTTAAATGATTTTGGCATCGCTGGTCCTGGGTCTGATGTTCCAACAGCACCTCACGGGCTCCAGGAGTTCAGGGCTTGCTGAGCTTTTCCAGGGCAGCAGCAGCTTCTGTAGCACCACAGAGAAATGAGTTTGAATGGGTCAGTGATTCCAGTTGTCAGAATGCCCCTCCTGGCGCAGCTCCATCCCACCAGTAGCTCCATCTGTCAGATGAGGGGGTCGTCCTGCTGGACTGGGGCTGTTCTGACCCCCCTGCTTGTGTTTGTGTCTCCTCTGCAGAACTGACTCATGAATTCCTGCAAATCCTTGAGAAAACTCCCAGCCGACTGAAACGGATCCGGAACTGGCGGGTAAGAGCCTTGGGCACAGGCTGTGATTGCTTTGGAATCACAATGCAGGACAGCACGGGAGGGAGTTGTGTGTGGAATTGGGATACTGTGTGGTTCTTGAGTTCATCTGTTGTGAATTAACTTGTACAGAACTTTGGTTTTCCAGCTGCATTAGCAGCCCTGCTTCCAGGGGTTGGGAATTTTCCCACAAGGAGGGAAGGCAGCAAAGTGGATCTGTTTGCAAAGAAGACCTTGCACTGTCCTGATGAGCTGCTGGGATTAAACCAGCTCCAGCGACACCCCAAGTAAACACTTGCCGATTTCTTTAATTCCAGGCCTCTCAAGCAGCCAGGAAATCCAAAACCGACGACCACGGCGATGACGAGAGCCTGTCGGAGCAGACAATCCTCAACATGATCTCCAGGAACAACAGCTCGGACATGAACATCGCCGGCCTCATGAGCATGTCCACATCCTCCACCGCCGGCGCGGGGCCGGCGCTCCCGGCCGCGGCCGATTCCCCCGCGGAGCCGAGCGCCGCGGATCCGTCCCAGGCGGATCACTGGCACCCCCCTGCCAAGCTGGACATCCACAGGACTAGCGAGGGCACGTCGGCCGCCGAGCACCCGCAGCAGGACGGTGCTTCCTACCCCAAGCAGAGCACCAAGAACGCGCCCTCAGCCAAGGTGTCCCTCAAGGAATACCGGGCCAAGCACGCCGAGGAATTGGCGGCGCAGAAGCGGCAGCTGGAAAACATGGAAGCCAACGTGCGCTCCCAGTACGCCTACGCCGCGCAGAACCTCCTGGTGCAGCAGCAGCGGGAGAGGGAAGGGCAGCAGGACAGCAACCCCTCCCCAATCGTCCTGAAAATCCCCAACGCGGGGCAGGAGAACCCCGAGCGCCCGCCCGGCGCCGACAAGGCTGACAAAGCTCTCAAGATGAGGATCCCGGCGGTGGGGGGAGGCGGGGAGAGGCCGATCCCCTGCAAGCAGGAGGATATCAAGATGCGGATTAAGGTGCCGGCTTCCGGAGACAGGCACGGCTCCGCGGATGAGAGCGGCGCCGGGAAGAGCCGGGATTACAAAGAGAAGCACAAGGGCCACTCATCCAACCATCACCACCACCACCACAACCACCACTCGCACAAACACTTGCACGCCCAGCTCGGCGCCGGCCCCAGCACCGCGGCCAAGCGCCCGGGGGACTCCAAACACGGCGCCCAGCCCGGCGCCGCCGCCACCCCCCACAAGGGCTACGGGCCTCTCGCCCCCACCCGCAAAAGACCCCTGCCCGAGGAGCCCCCGGCCGTGCCCCACGAGCACCAGCCCAAGGTGGGCAAAGTCTCCAAAGGCCCCGGAGTGCCGTTCCCGTACGCCCACCTTCCCGGGGCTGCCCATCTGCCCGGGCACGGCTCGGATTTATCCCAGCCCGGCAAAGCCCGGGGCGCTCACAAATCGGACAAGGGGCCTTCGGGGGCCAACGGGCACAACGTCAGCCAGGCCAGTGACTATCAGGACACGGTGAACATGCTGCACTCGCTGCTGAGCGCGCAGGGCATGCAGCCCACCCAGCCCCCCGCCTTCGAATTCCACTCGTACGAGCTCCTGAACCCCCGGGCTTCCAGCGGCTCCAGAGCTGCCACCAACACGGACAAGCCCCGACCGCCCCCCCTGCCCTCGGAACCGCCCCCCCCGCTGCCTCCCCTCCCCAAATAACCCCATTTTTACTACTGAGTCCAGAGCCCGAGCCCAAACCTGCGGGGCTTTTCTAAGGGCTTTTTGATCTCCACTGCCTCACGAAGAACTTATTTTATTATAATATAACTTTTATTATTGATATTTAGTTGTTAAAGCTGTGAAAGGATAAGGAACCCTTTCTCTATTCCTCCCTTTCCCCCATAGGCTCCCAGTTAGTGTTGGGCTTTGACCCCCCCTCTGGGGAACATGGGGGATATTTAAAATATGTCACAGAAAATTCAAGATGTTTTACAAATAATTTAAGCATTAACTTATATCTCAGTGGTTTGGTTCCTTTTAATTCCGAGGGGCTGTGGCAGAGCCCAGGGGGACTTTTGGGGAGGTTCCATTTGAGGCATTGGTGTTGAGTTTTTGGGGGATGGAGGGATGTGGTGGGGCTGATGGAATCCCAGGTGATGGGAGCTGTTTTCCCTCCCATGGGTCCTGTTTCCTTGTCCCTACACCTGTTCTGGTTTGGGATCCTGTCTCCATCCCTTGCTCCCTTCCTGCAGATCCCTGGATTTCCACTGGAAACCCTGGGGGCAGGGTGGCACATTCCCAGTGGAATCTGGGATGAGAAAGTGCCAGGCTGGTCCTGTAGGCACCATGCCCGGGGCAGCCCTTCAGGGACTCACATTGGCACGTGGCTGTTCCCAGCTGAGCTGGAAGCAGCTTCTCCTGGAACCTCAGCCCAGGGCCAGGGGACCTGCCAGGGTTTGGGTTGAATATTTGGGAAAGCCCTATTTCCTTTCTTTTTTAGACTTGACTTTTCTGACCTTCAATAAATGGGTGGTCTCTGGATGGTTTTGGGAAACTCTTGTTCCTCCTCGAGCTTGTTTTTAGGAGGAATTCCTGCTGCCAAACCTCCTCCAAGGACTTGGGGACCAATTTGGTCCGGTTTTGGACCAACTCTTAGATTTCAGGCTCTGGGCAAGGCCCATCCCTTGCTTCCCTTCCCTCTTCTGGGGCCCCTCTTGAGGCTCTGCCCTTCCCGGTGGGGAGCAGTGTCGGGAAACCGGGAGGGGACCGAGTGATGCCGGGGGGGGGGCCCAGGGTGGTGCTCTGGGACCAAACCGGGCCTGCTGTGACTCGGGGCCAAAACACACGCCTGGTCCCGGCTCGCTCCACCTCTCCCTCCCGGTTTTGGGGCCGCTGTCCTGCCCCGGGACCCCCCTCCCCGCCGGGTCCTGGCCCGGGATCCATCCCGGTCCTGTCCCGGGACCCCCCTCATCCCCGGTGTCCTGGTCCGGGACCCCCCTCACCCCCGGTGTCCTGGTCCGGGATCCCCCCGGGACCCCCCTCACCCCCGGTGTCCTGGCCCGGGATCCCCCCGGTTCCTGGCCCGGGACCCCCGCCCCGGTCCCGCCGCACCCACGTGTCGCGTTCCCGCCGCGCCGCCCCCACGTGACCCTAGGAAGGCATGGTCGCTCTTTGGTTGAGTGACTGCGAGCTGAGCCAATCACGCGCGTGAACGCCCCCGTAGTCGCGGCTGATTGGCGAGCGGGCGGGCCACTGAAGAGGCGGGGCGGGCGCACGGCGCATCAGCGCGGAGGCCGCGGCGGCAGAGAGGTAAGATGGCGGCGGCGTCTCCTGCTGACAATGGGGCCCAGTGTGCCCCTCAGCGCGGCCCCCGAGCTCTTCTCTAGGGCTCCTCCGTCCTGCACCGTCCCGGAGCCGGGTCTCCTCTCGCTCTCCGCTCCGGTAGCGCTTCCTGGACGCCCCTCAGGGGTGCCCCTCACGCCCGCCGCCCGCGGACAAAATGGCGGCGCCTGGGCGGCGGGAGGGCGCATGCGCGGGAGCGCTGTGGCGGAGCACGTGCGCGGGCGGGAGAGCGGCGGGACGGACCGGGACGGGCACCGGGAGAGAGGCTGGGATGGACCGGGAGAGATCAGGATAGGCACCGGGAGAGAGGCTATGATGGACCAAGATATACCGGAATAGAGGCGGAGATAGAGCAGGATGGGCGCTGGGAGAGGCTGGGATGTCCCGGGATAGATCAGGATAGGCATCGGGGTAGAGGCTATGGTGGACCAGGATGGACCGGAATAGAGGCGGGGATAGGGCAGGGTGGGCACTGGGGGAGGCTGGGATGTACCGGGATAGCTCAGGATGGGCACCGACAGAGAGGCTGGAATGAACCGGGAAAGATCAGGATGGGCACCGACAGAGAGGCTGGAATGAACCGGGATAGATCAGGATAGGCACCGGGAGAGAGGCTATGATGGACCAGGATATACCGGAATAGAGGCGGGGATAGAGCAGGATGGGCACTGGGAGAGGCTGGGATGTACCGGGATAGATCAGGATGGGCACCGACAGAGAGGCTGGAATGAACCGGGATAGATCAGGATGGGCACCAGGAGAGAGGCTGGGGTGGACCGGCATATACCGGAATAGAGGCTGGGATGGACCGGGATATACCGGGACAGAGGCAGAGATAGACCGGGATGAGCACCGGAAAAGAGCGGCATGGAGCGTGGCTGAGGCTGGGTGGGCAGCGGGGATGCCCCGGTCCGGGGGCGTGCACGGACACGGGCAGCGGGGCAGGATACACCGGGACACATCGGGATGGAGGCAGCGATGGGCACTGGGAGCACCGAGGAGATGCTCTGGGGGTGCACTGGGAGAAGAACCCCCCCAGATTTCTGCCGGGTTAAAATCTCCCTCGAGCATTATTGGGAGTTACTCCATAGGAGCAGCCTCATCTTCTGCTGAAGGGCTCCGACGTCGATTCAAATTCTTTCCCCCAGCTGCTCTTCGTTGTGTCAGCGTTTTATTGCGCTCCCTTTCCTTGCTCTGCATCCCTCCTGCAGCGTGGCCATGAACAGGATCCGGATTCACGTGTTACCCACCAGCCGAGGCCGCCTCACCCCGGTGCCACGGCCTCAGGAGCCCCTGGCCTGCTCCTTCGCCCCCCGGCCCTGCTCCCAGCCCCGCCTGGAAGGGCAGGAATTCTGCATCAAGCACATCCTTGAGGACAGGAATGCTCCCTTCAAACAGTGCAGCTACGTGTCCACGAAGAACGGGAAGCGTTGTCCCAATGCTGCTCCCAAACCTGAGAAGAAGGATGGGTGAGTGGCTCTTCCTCCTGCTTTTCCAGTTCCAAACTCTTTGGAATTAAAACAGGCAGGGGGAGGTTTTTCTTGTTGTCCTCCCTTTTGAAGGAAAGGCTGGAGCTCTGTCAGGGGAGATTTAGACTGGATTTTGGGAAAAAAATCTTTTTCTTCCTCCAGTTGAGCACTTGAGCAGCTCCTCAGGGCAGTGGTAACATTCACAGCCCTGCCAAAGCCCAAGGAGTGTTTGGATAATGCACCCAGGAGCATGGTGGGATTTTGGGATGTCCTGTGTAAGGCCAGGAGTTGGACTTGATCCTTGTGGGTCCCTGTCAGGATATTCCATGATTCTTCTCTTTCAGCTGCTGCATTTGGGTTACCTCTGAGAAACATCTCCCTTTTTCCAAAATGTTTTTTAAGCTGGAGAAAGACTCCATGGAGTTATGTGGGGACTGTGGGCTGTGCCCTGACCCAGCAGAAGGTGGCTGCAGTGCTCCAGGCCCTGCACTGGATGTGTGTGTGCAGTCCCTCCCTCATCCCAGCACACCCCGTGTCTGTGCCAGGGGATAATCCCCAGAGCAGCCACTCAGCTCCCTCTGGAGCTTTGGCCTCGTTGTGCTTCTGCCTCCCTTAGGCCTTTAAAATGCTCAAGGGGTGGAACAGTTTTGGCTGATAGAGCACAGATTCCTGACAGGAGCATTGCTTCCAGGATTTACTGGGATGTGGACAGTGGCTGTCTCCACCCTGGTCCCTGTGCCATAAAATGTGAGGAAGGCAGAGTCCAGTGAGAATATTTGGAAGCAGAAAGCTCAAAAATTCACCCACCTCACTGGCTTTGACTGAAAGCTCTTTTTCCTCCCTGCTGCTGGAGCCAGAGGTGATGTTCCCACAGTGGTGGGTGGGCTCTCAGCATTGCCAGGCTGGACCTGCAGGCAGCTCCCTGTGAGGGATTCCAGGTTCCAGGGCTTGTTCCTTGCCCTTCTGCCCTGCTCAGGTGAAACTCTGCATCCAGAGCTGCCCCAGCTCAGGAAAAACATGGAGCAGTTGGAGTGAGTCCAGAGATGAGCACAGGGATGGAGCAGATCTCTTAGAAGGAAAGGCTGAGGGAACTGGGGTTGTTCTGGAGAAAAGAAGCTCAGAGGTGACCTAATTGTGGACTTAAAGTGCCTGAAGGAGCTGCAGGAAAAATGGAGAGAGACTATTTTCAAGGGGTGGAGTGCCAGCACAAGAGGGAATGGCTTCCCACTGCTGGAGGGCAGGGATAAGTGAGATATTTGGAACAAATGTCTCCCTGTGAGGATGGTGAGGCCCTGGAATGGATTTCCTAGAGAAGCTGTGGCTGCCCCTGGATCCCTGGAAGTGTCCAAGGCCCGGTTGGACAGGACTTGGAGCCACCTGGGTAGTGGAATGTGTCCCTGCCCATGGCAGGGGTGAAACTGGATCATCTTGACATTCCCAACCAATCCAGAGCATGCTGGGATTCTGTGACAGTGCAGGAATGTGGAAGGTTTGGGAGCTATTGCAGGGTTGGTGGCTGCTCCTTTGGAATGGCTGTGCTCATTTAAATGCCTTTAGAGGCCTCTTAAAAAGAGGATTTTTCCCCCCACAGCCCCATTTTCTCTGGCATGAGGAAAACATGGAGATTTTAATCCCCAGATTATTGTGGCATCATGCATTTAAACCAGCCCAACTCAGAGCTTCAGGAATGCATTGAGGCAAAAGCAGAGCAGCAGGATCCATGGGAGCTGCTCCTGTGAGGGTGTTCCCTCAGTTTTTGGGTGCCCTGAGGTTGCTGAGCTCTGCTCTTGGAGGCAAAGCCTGGATATCTGTGGCATTCACATTCTCTAGAAAAATCCCTTTGCCCAGGATTTTTCTCCTGGGAAGCCGAGAAGCTTCAGAGAAAAAGAAAACACTTCTACTCACATTTGCTTGTCCTGTGTTTTGCTCATGTGAAATGTGTTTGGAGATTGTTTGGTTGGGTTCTGGTGTGAGTTGTTTTGACTCTGTGGCCAATTACAGCCAAGCTGTGTCAGGACTCTGGAAAGAGTCACAAGTTTTCATTATTAGCTTTTTAGCATTCAGTAAGTATCCCTTCTGTATTCTTCAGTATAGTGTAGCATTCTTTAGTATAATATATTATTATAAAATAATAAGTTAACCTTCTGAAAAAATGGAGTCAGATCCATCATTCCTCCCTGCCACGAGAGTCCCTGCAGATACAATAGATCTCCTTTGGAGTTTGCTGATGGAGGAGGGATTCCAGCAGCAGGAACTGGGAGACCAAGCAGGATCAGGCTGGGGAGGGTGTGCTCAAATCATCTTTTATCTTCTTCCTCCATGATGCTGAACCCCTGCTTTGTCCTGCAGCACCTCGTTCTGCGCGGAGCACGCCCGGCGCAACGCGCTGGCGCTGCAGGCTCAGGTGAAGAAATCCAACCCCGGGCCCGTGGGTGAGACCCTGCTGTGCCAGCTGAGCTCCTATGCCCGGGCAGAGCTGGGCAGCCAGGGTGCCGAGAGCAGCCGCAGCGAGGCCAGCCGCATCCTGGGTGAGCACTGAGCCCGTGCCTTGAGGCTTCAGCCTCTGGTTTTTTTTCCAAATCCTCTGGGGGTACCAGTGGTTGATTTTTCTGGCTCTGGATTGAAGGCACTTTGAGGTGGTAGTTCATGTTTGGACTCGTGTGTTTATTATTTCTCATCAGTAAAACAGTCTCACTGCTGTGAGTTCGGCAGCTCTTCATTAGAAGGCACAAAATGCCCAACAATCTCTTGGTACAAGGTCTTTTCAGACTAAACTGTCCAGTTAAGAACTACACCTGGATTATTTTCCCTTTTAACCCAATAACTGATCCTAAAGAGCCCCAGTTAAGACTTTTCTGCCCAATTACAAAATGCCACCCAGACCCATGAAGAAGAAACCCAGGACCTGTGCTCTCCATCTTGCTTCCATCCACAACATACTAAAAATCCCAAAACCTCAATTTCTCACCAAATGATACACCTCCACTACTCTCTGTAATCTATTTCACACTTTTGTGGGTGCTAGTCTAGCTTGAAGTCTAGGAAGCTTTCTCCATTAATGAAAGTCAAAGTCTGTGCTCCCCTGGGGGTCAGGGCACCCCAGAGCAGACAGGGAAATAGTCTCAGTGCCCTGGGATTTCACAAAATCCTCTACTGCATTAGTGCATAACTCTAAGATCCATATAAAGTGTTAGCTGCTGTCTTCACTTTTTGGTCAGACAGAACAATTCCTCTGGTATTGGAATAAATCATGCAGGACTCCATTTTCTTCATGGTGGAAAATTTCCTAGGGCAATGCCTGGGGAAGTTTATCTGGCTCTTTCTCTGACCAGGCTTTCAGCAGCCACACTCCAGGCCTGAAATCCAAGGACACCCTACAGCTTCAGGCCCTGAAATATATAAACAGAAATTAATTGAAGTGATGCAAACTGGGGGAATATGATTTTGTTACCTGAAGGTAATGAATGAGTTCATTGTCTGAAGGCAATTGGAGGATTAACCCCGATAGATAAATGAACCAAACTTATATCTGTCTGAAAAAACTCGTGACCATCATCCATCTTGGGTGTAGCCTCTAGGAGGCTTTTCACTACCCAAGATGTATCTGTTGAAGGCCTTTAATAAATACCCACTTTATTCTCTTTGTATTGTCTAGCCTCTGTTCTAGGCAGCCACTCCAAGGCATCAAAACCCAAAGACAGTGCCAGGCTGCTCTGTTCCTTTGTGGGAAAGCCAGCAATATCCCTTCTCCAGTCCAGTGGGAAAAAGACCCCATGGTCTGGAGTAAAAGCTGGGGTTTTGTAAAGCCTGGTGTGTCTCGTGCTGCCAGACCCAGATCCTGCAGGTTTAGCATGGAAATAACACCACTAGAATTCCCTGGTTCCTGGGAGGGCTGAAGCATCATTCCCAGTGTGTTTTGGTTGTTCTGGCTGTTCCAAACTGGGAGGTTTCCCATTATTTCCTGCTCCATGTCCCTCACTCAGAGTTTTGAGGTGGAAAATTCTCTCTTGGCATGATGCAGAGCCTGCTCAGCTCCATGGGGCCGAGCTCCAGGGTGTCCCTGGCCATCCTGGGATGTGGGACAGTGTCCTGTGACTCTGCTGCTGTGTCTTGCAGACGAGGACAGCTGGAGTGACTGTGAGCAGGACCCTGTCACCGTGGAGCAGACGTGGCGTGGGGACCCTGACAGCGACGCCGACAGCATCGACAGCGACCAGGAGGATCCCCTCAAGTAGGTTGGGGGGGTAGTTAAATTTTACATTTTGGGGGGGTTCAGCCTGGAAGAAAGGCTCAGGGGGGACCTTCTGGCTCTCCACAACTCCCTGACAGGAGGCTGCAGCCAAGTTGGGGTCAGGCTTTGCTCCCGTGAAAAGAGACAGGACAAGGGGAAGCAGCCTCAGTCTGTGCCAGGTGAGGTTCAGGTTGGACATCAGGAGGAATTTCTTCATGGAAAGACTTGGCAGACATTGGAACTGCCCAGGAAGGAGGTGGAGTCAGCAGTTAAATTTACATTTTGGGGGGGCTCAACCTGGAAAAAAGGCTCAAGGGGGACCTTCTGGCTCAACTCCCTGACAGGAGGCTGCAGCCAAGTTGGGGTCAGGCTTTGCTCCCGTGAAAAGAGACAGGACAAGGGGAAGCAGCCTCAGTCTGTGCCAGGTGAGGTTCAGGTTGGACATCAGGAGGAATTTCTTCATGGAAAGACTTGGCAGACATTGGAACTGCCCAGGAAGGAGGTGGAGTCCCATCCCTGGAGGTCCAAGGAATGACTGCATGTGGCACTCAGGACTCTGATGGGGGTCAGTCACAGGCTGGACTCAATCAACCTATGGAATTTTGGGATTCCATGGTGGCTGCTGCCTGCTACACACATGTTCCATGTTCTGGGTTCACTGTGGCTCCAGGGGACAGTGGTTGTGTTAAAAACGTGACAATATGAATGGTTTTTCATGGATTTGTGCCCATATGGTTTGTTGGCTGTGGATACACTCTGGTCCTGGAGTTGGGGTTTTCTGAGCAGCACTTGCTGCTCATCCTCTTCCCGAGTGGAGTGGATCTCTCAGCAGCTTCTCTGGGTGATCCTGTCTCTTAAAAAAAGCCTGAAATTGAGTATTTCAGCTCATCACTTGTTGGTGGTGTAACCCAGAGTGTTCCAAATAACATCAGTGTTGTTTGTGGGGGGGGAATAGCTCAGAGGGACCCCCACATAATAATAATAGTAGTAGTAATAATAATAATAATAATAATGAGATAACATGTTCCATGTTCTGGGTTCACTGTGGCTCCAGGGGACAGTGGTTGTGTTAAAAACGTGACAATATCAATGGTTTTTCATGGATTTGTGCCCATATGGTTTGTTGGCTGTGGATACACTGGAGCTGGGGTTTTCTGGGCAGCACTTGCTGCTCATCCTCTTCCATAGTGGAGTGGATCTCTCAGCAGCTTCTCTGGCTGATCCTGTCTCTTACAAAAAGCCTGAAATTGAGTATTTCAGCTCATCACTTGTTGGTGGTGTAACCCAGAGTGTTCCAAATAACATCAGTGTTGTTTGTGGGGGGGGAATAGCTCAGAGGGACCCCCACATAATAATAATAGTAGTAGTAATAATAATAATAATAATGAGATAACCCCACAGATTCAGAGAATCAAGCCTTGAGGGTCTCCCAGATCCTTTGGGGGATCAGCCCTGAGGCACCCCCAAACCCTTTGGAAGAATAACCCTGAGAAACTTCCCCCAATCTTTGGGGGTTAAGCCTTGAGAGACCTCCCTTCAGGAGAACAGCCCCATGGGACCACTCCGTGTCATTTGGGGTTTAGCCCCGAAGGACCTCCACACTCTTTGGGGCAGCAACCCTAGAGGACCCCCACACCCTGAGGGGGATCAATCCTGAGGGATCCCCACACCCTGAGGGGGATCAACCCTGGGGGATCCCCACACCCTGAGGGGGATCAACCCTGGGGGATCCCCACACCCTGAGGGGGTTCAACCTTGAGGGATCCCCACACCCTGAGGGGGATCAACCTTGAGGGATCCCCACACCCTGAGGGGGATCAACCTTGGGGGATCCCCACACCCTGAGGGGGATCAACCTTGAGGGATCCCCACACCTTTGGGGGTTCAGCCTTGAGAAACCCCCACGTCCTTTTGGAGAACAGTCCTGAGGATCCCCCACACCCTTTGGGGGTTCATCCCTGAGGAACCCCAGACTCTTCAGCAGAAAAGGCCCATGGGATCCCCAGACCCTTCAGGGATCAGCCCCAGGGAGACCCTCATGCCATATAGAGGCTCATCCCCTGAAAGACCCTCAGATTCTTCAGCAGAAAAAAACCCACAGGATCCCCAGACCCTTCAGGGATCCACCCCCACACCTTTTGTGGGGTCAGTCTCCAGGGACCCCCCAAACAGACCCTGTTCCCTGGGTTTTCCAGGCATGCTGGGGTGTACACGGCCGAGGAGGTGGCTCTGATCATGAGGGAGAAGCTGATCCGCCTCCAGTCCCTCTACATCGACCAGTTCAAGCGGCTCCAGCACCTGCTGAAGGAGAAGAAACGCCGGTTCCTGCACAGCAGGAAGGGAGAGCACGAGGCCATCGGTGAGCCCAGACCTCCTGCCTGAGGGTGTGCCCAGAAATCTGCTAAAAAAAGGAGGGTTTGGGCCTTGCTAGAGGCAGATTTCAGAGCAGGGTAAGGGCAGGGTTCTACACTCAGTGTTTTATTGAGGGGCTGGAGCATGTCTGGAGATGGGGGAGTGGCTGGAGCACAAGGAGAAGGAGCTGGGGAGGGGCTGAGCCTGGAGAAAAGAGAGGTGGGACCATCTCACTCTGTAACTCCCTGACAGGAGAGTGCAGCCAGGTCGGGATCTGCTCCCACAGAACAATGAGACAAAAGGAAATGGCCTCAAACTGTGCCAGGGGAGGTTTGGGGTGGGCATCAAGAGGATTTCTGTATGGAAAAGGGGTCAGGCATTGGAACTGCCGAGAGAGATGGTGGAGTCTCTGCCCCCAGAGGTTCAGGGAGCAACTGGACATTGCACTCAGTGCTCTGGTGTGGTTGGCAAGGTAGGGATCAGTCGCAGGTTGGACTCTGATCCTGGAGAGCTCTTCCAGCCTGAGTGATTCCATGATTCTGTGCTGGTCCTGTGCCCAGAGATCCCTATCACTGCAGTTCCAAAGCTTGTGCATTTCTTTGCTCTTCAGAGCTTGCAGCCTTGGCAGGAAATGAGCTATAATGTTAATTCTGAGACAAAAGTGCTTATTTTGTACTGGGATTTCCTGTTTTTTCCTTTTACGAACAAAAAATGTTCATCCATAAGGCCCTTGGTGTGTGGACAGGAGCTGGTTCCAGTAACACCAGTGCTGCTGTACTGGCATATTCCTCCTTAGCTTTCCCTCTGCCTCTGCTGGCATTCTCTCTGTGCAGAGCATGCTCTTGGAATCAGGAATTCCCAGTTCAACAGAGGCAAAACCGAGTTGTGTAACTGATCCCAAGTATTGCAGAGCAAAGGACTCTTTTTCCAGCATCATCCTTTAATAGCTCATCCTGGAAAACGCCATAATTCAGCTCAGGCTCAAGTAAAAATAACCAGGAGTTTGGTACATAACAATTTTGCAGAACTCTTTTTAGCAAACGAGGCAGAGAAAAGCAGATCCTGAGCGTTGCCCTGTAATTACATCAGGAATGCTGGCGGGAAGCTTCCAGAACTCGCACAGGAGTGACCTGGAATTTGACAAGTTTCTATTCTGCTGCTGAAATCACAATGCACGGGAGTGGCTGAATTATTTTTAAAGGAGGTTTTAAAAATAATCTGTGTGCCCAAGTATTCCTGCTGCTTGAGGAGAGGTCAGGATAAATTTTGGGATGGAACCTGCACCAGCAGGCGTCACCCAAAGCTGCGCTTCTGCCGGTGCTGTGGATGGAGCCCTCAAAGCCCTCCATGGCCGATCTGCTAAAAAACCAGCCAGATTCCTGACTCTTCCTTTATTCCTGCAGGGAGCAGCCTCCTGACAGGGCCAGAGGGGCTGATGGCCAAGGAGAGGGAGAACCTGAAGAGGCTCAAGTGCCTGCGGCGCTACCGGCAGCGCTACGGGGTGGAGGCTCTGCTGCACCGGCAGCTCCGCGAGCGCAGGGTCCTGGCCACTGATGGCGCAGCCCAGCAGGTCCGTGGGGACATCCAGGATGGGTCTCTCCTCTCCTCTCTTGCTGGGAGTGACCCCACGCCCTGGCAGGTTGCTCTGTGTAACACCCTTCCTGCAGGGCTGCCACCCTCTTGGGTTTGGAGAAGCTCTTGGGATTGTTGTGGGAGCTTCTGGGTCTGTGAGAGCTCCTGTGTCTGCAAGAGCTCTCAGGTCTGTGGGAGCTCCTGTCCTTCCTGCAAGGACAGCCCTAGCTGCCACCCTCCTGGGTTTGGAGAAGCTTCTGGGGTTGTTGAGGTTTGTGGGAGCTTCTGGATCTGTGGGAGCTCCCATGTGTGCAAGAGCTCTTGGTTCTGTGGGAGCTCCTGTCCTTCCTGCAAGGACAGCCCTAGCTGCCACCCTCCTGGGTTTGGAGAAGCTTCTTGGGGTTGTTGTGGGAGCTTCTGGATCTGTGAGAGCTCCTGTGTGTGCAAGAGCTCTTGGGTCTGCGGGAGCTCTTGGTGTCCACACCTTGAATGCTGGGGTCAGTTTTGGGTGCTCGCAGCAAGAAAGACTTTGAGGGTCAAGTCTAGAGAAGGGAATGGAGCTGGGAAAGGGACTGGAGCACAAGAAGGGTCTGGAAAACTCCTGAGGACATGAGGGAGCTGGGGGGCTCATCCTGGAGAAAGGAGGGCTCAGGGTATTTGGAGGCTTGAGGATTTTTGGGAGCTCCTGGGTCTAAGTGAGTCCATTCCAGTGCCTGAAAGAGGCTTAATAAAAAGAGAGAGAGAGAGTTTTAAATAGACATCCAATGACAGGACAAGAGGAAATGGTGTTAAACTAAGAGATGAGAGGTTTAGATGGGATATTGGGATCAAATTCCTCCCTGTGAGGTTGGAGAGGCCCTGGAATGGATTTCCCAGAGCACCTGATGGGTTGCCCCATCCCTGGAAGTGCCAGGTTGGATATGGCTTAGAGCAGCCTGGGACAGTGGAAGATGTCCTTGCCTGTGGGAACAGGAGCTTAAGGAGCTTTAAGGTCTCTCCCAACCCAAATTCCATGATTTCAGGCTCACACCACCCGCTCCAGCCAGCGCTGCTTGGCCTTTGTCGATGACGTCCGATGCTCCAACCCGTCCCTGCCCATGACCCGGCACTGCCTCACACGTATCCTTTGATCCACCCTCCTCCTGAGTGCTGGCCAGCAGTTTGCCCCGTGGCTGTGCCTCTTTTCTCCCTCTCTGGCCCTGAATCAAGGCCCTCGGTTTGCTGTAGCCGTTGGTTTCAAGCAGGAGCCCAGAGGAAATGTCTCCCTGTCTGTTGGTGCTCCCATCCCGTGGAACAGCCAATTCGTATGGGAGCAACAAAGGGCTGGGCTGGTCCCAGGAGTGCTCCTGGTGTGGCCTCCTGGGTCCAGAGCATCCAAACACAATGGGCATTTCACTTGGAAACAGAGAGCCCAGGCAGGCTTAACTGTGAGGGGTGTGCATGGTTCCCCTCCAGGGATGGGGATCCTCTTTGAGCAGCCCTTCCAATCTCTGACCACCCTTTCCATGGAAGGAATTCAGAAATTACCAATTCAGAAATTCCTGAACCTCCCCTGGCAAAGCTCGAGGCTCTTCCCTCTTGTCCTGTCCCTTGTTCCTTGGGAGCAGAGCCTACCTCCCACCTGAGGACACACACACCAGAGCACGGCCTTGGGGATTTTTGGGAGGATCTGGAGGGGTACTTTGAGCCTCTTTGGAGCTGCTGTGACCCAGCTCGGTCTCTGTGACCTTTCAAAAGGTTCTCGTGTGTGTGAAGAGCCTAGAGCTGTTCCACTTCCCAAATCGGCCTCAACTCTTGGAGAGCTGGCTCTGAAAGTTCCACTGGGATCCCCCAAGTCAGGGATGACCCCCCAGTGTGGGATCAGGGATTCCCCAGCTCAGGGATGACCCCCAGTGTGGGATCAAAAATTCCTCAGCTTGGGGATGACCCCCAATATGGGATCAGGGATTCCCCAGCTCAGGGGTGACCCCAATATGGGATCCAGCATTGCCCTGGGTGCATCTTCTCCATCCTCTCTGTGGGATTGGGAGGATGTGTCCAGGTTTGGATCAGGCTGGAGCTGCAGGAGGGAGCAGTGGGGTGAGTCAGGACAAATTCTGGCACTGTGTCCCAGGGCTGGGTGAGGAGGAGCTTCTGGATCTGTAAGAGATCTTGGATTTGTGGGAGGTGCTGGGTTGGTGTGAGCTCTTGGGTTTATGAGTTCCTGGGCCTGTGGGAACTCCTGGGTTTGTGGGAGCTCCTGGGTCTGCAGGAGCTCATGAGTTTTTGGAAGCTGTTGAGGAGTTTTCAGATTTCTTGGGAGATTCTGGATTTTTGAGAGCCCTTGGGTTATTTTTTCCCTGGAGTTCTCATACTCCCCCAGCCCTGTGCAGGGAGCAGGAGCTGGAAGCTGCCTTTGTTTCTCTCTAACCACCACAGACCTCAAAATAAAGACAGGAGAAATCCCATAAAACAGCCAGAGAAGCTGCTGTTGGCAGCTGGTGCTCCCGGGAGGGAGGGAAGAGCTGGGTCTGGCGGGAGCTCTCAGCTGACTCTCTCAGTGACACAAACAAGCTTTTCCTGGGGCAGCTGATAACATCTGATAACATCTGTGGCTTTTCGGGAGGCTCTTGGGCTCTGTTTGCTTCCAGGAGCTGGATTGTTTGTGACAGGGCACTAAAGGGATGGGGGAAGGCTGGGAGGCTCCAGATGGAGCCTGGGATTTTTGTCCTCTTGGCAATCTGTGCTTTTGGCTACCAGTAAAGTCAGTGCTGGAGCTGGGAGTTGCTCCAGGAGATGAAAATCTGAATTCCCCACCCCCTGTTCCCTCACTACATCTTCCCTTGGGTGTCCCAGGTCCTTCTCTCTTGGGCTGGGCTCTGACATTGCTGCCAGCCCAGATTCTGGCTCCCCATGGCCTGCCAGGAGGTGGATTCCTGAGAAATCCTTGGAGTAGAGAGGAGAGGAGGGAGGGGTGAATCTCAAACCTAGCCAGCTTAAGAAACTGGCTTGAACTTGGTGTCTTTTCCCAGTTTTATCTGGGTTTGGGATTTTTTTTTCCCCTTCCCACACTGGTGTGTGAGGAAATTGCAGTTGGGATGATCCTGGTTGGGAGGGGATGGAAGAGGAGAAAAGTGGGAGGAGGAAGAGGAAGGGGTTGGAAGAAAAGGATGGGGATCAGAAGAGGAGAGAAAGGGATGGGAAGAAAAGGTTGGAAGAAGTGAATGGGGGTTGAAAAAGAGGAAGGGGTGGGAAGAAGAGAAAGATTGAGAGAGGAAAAGGAGTGGAGTCAGAAGAGGAGGATGGGATCAGAATAGGGCTTGGAAGAAGAGGATGGGTGTGGGAGGAGGAGGAAGGGGTTGGAAGGTGCTGGGTTCAGAGCAGGCTGGGTTTTGATCTGTAGCTCCTCTGGATCACTCTGCAAGTGTGATGCAATTGAAGCAGAGTTTCTGTTTGGGATTAAAGGCAGGAAATCCCATTTACACCTCTGGCAGGAACAGGTTTTCCACTGGGAAGGAAAATGCAGTGGGAAGATAGAAATACCATAACTGAACTCCTGGCTGTGGAAAAGGCATTGTGTGTGCTGGGATCTCCCTGCCTGTGGGGCTGGAGCTGATCATTTTCCATGGATGTCTGCAAACAAAAGTTAATCCTGTGCCTTTGTGACATCCAGCTGAGAATCTGTGAGTGGTTTCCAGGGATCCAGCCACATCTCCCAGCCCCCACAGGGCGGGGGGGGTGCTGTGGCTGTTGTCCCAGTTTTCCATCATGGAAATGATGTCACCCACATCCCTGGGCAGTTGGGGTGCAGCTCTGACCTCTGGATTCCTGATCTGGTAGAAATGGGGGTGAGTTTAACACCATTTGTGGGAGAATTTGGAGCATTTCTCAGCATTTCCCCCCCTCTGGATGCGTCTCTGCCTGCTCCCCTGCTGCTTTCCTTGACCTCCTCTTCCCAGATATCTGCCAGGATACAAACCAGACACTTTTCAAGCCGTGCCAGGGCTCTGAGGAAGTTCCCTGCAACAAGCCCGTGCCCGTGAGCCTGTCTGAGGAGCCGTGCTGCCCCCTGCACCTCCGGCTGCCCCCCCAGATGTACGTGCCAGAGCAGGTCCTGGCAGTGCCCCAGGAGCTGGGGGCTGCTCCCACGGATCTGTACCTGAGCGCGGCCGAGCTCCAGCCCACGGAGAGTTTGCCCCTGGAATTCAGTGATGTAAGTGGCAAAGCTGCCCCTCTGCCCACCTGAGTGCCCAGCTGAGTCCGGGGCTGGGGTCCTCAGCACAGGAGGAGCTGCTGGAGTGAGGGCTGGAACAGCTCTGGAGCCAGGATGGGGGTGTGTGGCCTGGAGAGGAGAAGGATCCAGGGATATTTTGAACCCCTTGCAGTGCCTGCATGTCTGACCTGGAGAGGAGAAGGATCCAGGGATATTTTGAACCCCTTGCAGTGCCTGCAGAGAGTTGGAGAGGGACCTGGGACGAAGGATGGAGTGCCAGGACAAGGGGGAATAGCTTCTAGTGCCAGAGAGCAGGGGTAGGTGGGATATTGGAAAGGAATTGCTGTGAGGGTGAGGAGGCCCTGGCACAGCTGTGGCTGCCCCTGGATCCCTGAAGGTGTCCAAGGCCAAGCTGGACAAGGTTTGGAGCCACCTGGGATAGTGGAAGTGTTCCTGCCAGTGGCAGGGGTGAAACTGGATCATCTTGACATTCCCAACCAATCCAGAGCATCCTGGGATTCTGTGAAAATGCAGGAATGTGGAAGGTTTGGGAGCTATTGCAGGGCTGGTGGCTGTTCCTTTGGAATGGCTGTGCTCTTTAAGAGCAGGGACCTCTTAAAGAGAGGATTTCCCCCCACCCCCCTACCCCCATTTTCTCTGGCACGAGGAAAACATGAAGATTTTAATCCCCAGATTATTGTGGCATCATGCATTTAAACCAGCCCAGCTCAGAGCTTCAGGAATGCACTGAGGCAAAAGCAGAGCAGCAGGATCCATGGGAGCTGCTCCTGTGAGGGTGTCCCCTCAGTGTTTGGGTGCCCTGAGGTTGCTGAGCTCTGCTCTTGGAGGCAAAACTTGGAACTCCTTTGGAGTTTGGTGCTGGAGGAGGGATTCCAGCAGCAGGAGCTGGGAGAGCAAGCAGGGTCAGGCTGGGGGAGGGCCCAGATCAGATCCCAGCCCCTTTCTGTGCAAACAGAAGGGATTTTTTTTGGCTTAGAAAGGGAAACCAGGACTGTTTTCCCTCATCCTGTCCTTTGAGAGGGTTCTGAGCTCCCTCTGGAGCGCTGTGGAAGCTGCTGGGGGCATCTGTGTTGTGTCTCACGTTGTGCCAGGCTGGGGAAGTGCCACTTGTGAGTCACAGGAATCTCACCCTCGTGTCAAACCCCCTTTGGAGCCAAAACAAATCCCAGCCTCTCCTGCATCCCAGCCTCTCCCGAATCCCGAATTCCCTTGTCAGGGAGGGCAGATGGAGGAGTGCTCAGAGCCTGTCCATCCCCATCTGTGCTGTCAGGGCAAACAGAGGAGGTGTGACATCCTAGGACAGGGTGGGGATGTTCCAGGTGTCCCCAGGAGTGTGTGTGACATCCTGGAGCTGCTCTGGGGGTCCCCTGGAGTGTGTGTGTGACATCCTGGAACTGCTCTGGGGATCCCCTGGAGTGTGTGTGTGACATCCTGGAGCTGCTCTGGGGGTCCCCTGGAGTGTGTGTGACATCCTGGAGCTGCTCTGGGGGTCCCCAAGAGTGTGTGTGTGACATCCTGGAGCTGCTCTGGGGGTCCCCTGGAGTGTGTGTGACATCCTGGAGCTGGGGGACTGCTCTGGGGGTCCCCAGGAGTGTGTGTGACATCCTGGAACTGCTCTGGGGGTCCCCAAGAGTGTGTGTGACATCCTGGAGCTGCTCTGGGGGTCCCCTGGAGTGTGTGTGTGACATCCTGGAGCTGCTCTGGGGGTCCCCTGGAGTGTGTGTGACATCCTGGAACTGCTCTGGGGGTCCCCTGGAGCGTGTGTGTGACATCCAGGAGCTGGGGGACTGCTCTGGGGGTCCCCAGGCGTGTGTGTGACGTCCTGGAACTGCTCTGGGGGTCCCCTGGAGGGTGTGTGACATCCTGGAGCTGGGGAACTGCTCTGGGGGTCCCCAGAAGGGTGTGACTGGACCCTGTCAAAGCCATTCCAGGTGCTGGAGGGACACTTTGGGGACAGTGTATCACGCTGGGCTCCAGGTGGTGTGTCCCTCAGCAGTGCCAGCCGGGATCATGGCATTCCAGGAGGAGGAGGAGGAGGGGGTTCCTGGGGTGTGTTCCTGGCTGCTGGCCAGGGGCCCCCCTGGCATGGTGCCCACTTCTCCAGCCTTCCTTCTCCCTTTCCTGCTGCTCCAGAGCATTGGAGCCTCCTCAGCCCCCTCCTGACCAGTCCTGCTCTTTTCCCTGCCAGGACCTGGACGTGGTGGGTGATGGGATGCAGTGCCCCCCATCCCCTCTGCTCTTTGACCCTTCTGTGACCCTCGATCCATCCCTGAGGGACATGGCCGAGGCTCCCATCGACATCCTGGCCCTGGAGGAGCCCGACAGGGGCAGCTCCTCCACCCCCCTGGTCCCTCCAGCCGAGGGTCCTGCCCAGGTACGGCCAGGTGGGACTGATCCTCCCCCCAGGTGGGTTTTTCCCAGCAGGAACCCCCCCTCCTCTTCCTCCCACCAGCTCGTGGGGCTCCTCTCCCACACAGCAGCTCCAGAGCCTGGGTGTGCCCAAGGTCTGGATGGCATTAGGAGTGCAGGGTGGTGGTGGCAGCCAGAAGCTGGCCCCGAGGTGGCTCTGTGGGTGGCTCAGTGCCACCCTTGTCCTGGGCATGGATGTCCTGGGAATGTCTGGGATGCTGGGGATGTCTGGCCAAGGGTTTTGCCTGCTGTTGGAACCTCTTAATCCCAGCTGGGGTTTTTTAAGGGAGTTATTTCCCAGCTCAGGGGTTCTCCTTTCTTCTTGGGAGTCTTAATTTTCACTGGGATAACTGAAATTTGTTCCTGTCATCCTTTCTGGAGCCTGGGGCTTCTTTGGGGTGTCCCCACAAGGACAGGTGATGTCACCCGCTGTCCTGGGGTGAAGGCCAAGTTTTGGGGTGGGGGTGGGAGCCACATGCCAGGCTCTGACTGAAGACCCCCAGTTTTTGCTGTAGCTGTTGGTTTCAAGCAGGAGCCCAGAGGAAAAGTCTCCCGGTCTGTTGGTGCTCCCAGCCCGTGGAGTGACCAATTCGTGTGGGAGTGACACTGCCCCGGGCTGTGTCCCAGCACTGCCAACACCCCATCCCCGGTCCCTGTGCTGTCCCAGCAGTGTCACCTCCCGTTCCAGCCCCGGGAGGAGCAGCAGCCACAGGAAACGGCCTCGTCCAGCCCGGCCCGGGGAGCAGCGGCCAACGGGAGCCTGGAGCCGGGGGCCGTGGGCTGAGCCCGGCAGCCCCGGGGTCCCCACACCCGGGGGACCCTCAGCGTGGGACCTGGGGGGGCTGGAGTGCTGCTCCAGTGCCAGGATGAGCTGCAGCTCCAGCTCTGCTGATCCCAGGAGCCACAGGAACCCCTGGAACGCCAGGATGGAGCTCCAGACCTCCCGTCCTCCGTGGGGATGGAGTAGCCACAGGAGGCTGGGGGTGGGAAAATCACGAAATTTTGGGGGTCTCTGCCGTGCCCTGGGGGGGTGATGTGGCCCTGTGATGTTTTGGGGGGACAGAGGTTCCATCCCGCGGGTCCCCCCACAATAAAGTGATGGAGGTGGGTGCTCGGTGTCCCTGTGTCCTGTGGATGAGCCCAGAAATTGGGGACTGCCCTGGGGGGGCTGGGTGTCCTCCCGGGGAGGGGGGGGGTCCCTGCTGCTGCCAGACCCCGACTGCTGCTACCGGGGGGTCCCTTTGGGGGTCACCCTTTATTTCGGTTCGGCTGCCGTGGCGGGGGGGCCACGCCCGGGAAGGCTCCGTGGGGTGCGGGGCGAGCCGGTCCCATCCCGGGCCAGCCGCCACCGGGGGCTCGGTACCGATTCCCGCCGGGAGGAAGGAGGGGCGGGGGTCCCGGCTCCGTTACGGGCGGTTCCGGGGATCACGGGAAGGGGGGATTCGCGGGGG